CAGAAAACTGCATATCCCAAATATTAATAAATGTTTGCACACCCAGTTTTAATATTCTCCTCCCAGAAATGCATATGCACCAAGGTCAGTAGCAAAAATCCCACCTCTTTCAACTTAAAATATCCAAAAAAGTCTGCTTTAGATTGCAGGAAGGATGACAGAGATGCAACAAAATTAAACTTTCACCCGTGACATGAAGGTTTTGGCGCTTTCTCAAGGTTAAGTACATGTTATAATTCTTGAGTTTGCTAGCTTACTATGACAGCAGAAGATTTCTCGTGCACTTCACCATAAAACTGCTAAGCATTGCTTCCAATTTACCAGAGATAATAACAGCATTAAGACGGCTACTTTATTTTGGTATATTAAGGACAGACAGCAACTGACAGGAGATCATCAACCTGTTGATGACATCCAAATTTGGTACAGGACATTAATATTATTAATATTTAGTCTGGTGAAGTTTTAACGTGGTTAGCCAGTTATTCACTTCAGATATGCCAACAGCAACACAGATCAACAGTGTTTAGTGTATTTATCACAGTTCCCTCATTTTTTGTGTTTGGAAAGGCTAGTAAAAGGTCACTGCTCTTTAATTTCCCTACATAAAGAGAAATTAACAGATAAAAATGATGCCATGCAAAACTCACAAGAGTTGTCGGTGTGTAAACTTCTTAAAAAACAAAACAAAACCAAACATCAAAGGGAGCCAAAAGGGGCCCACGGCTTATTGTGCCCCATCATCCCACTGCAGGACAATCCGGCCGTGATAACATCATACTATGCTCCAAATTTGAGAGTATTCATATTTTGTAAACTGCAACCTGAATGCAGCGCAGTGCGGTGGTTATCAAAATATTTTTAAGTTGGACAAGGAGAGGAGTTTGAAAGGGGCAGAGCTGCAGAGAGAGAATGCTCACACCATGCCTCGCTGCACACTGTCCGAGGCAATCTAATACACCTAGTCATGTGGTTTTGTTGCTATGGCAGCAAAGATCCTAGCCGCTTCACTCGTTAAAACACACACTCATACACACACACACACACGCACATATAACACCTCCCACTGCAGACGAGCAAAGTTTGTAGAGAAAAGTTTTTCACCAGTAAATATCTTTTATGAGATAACGGTCGGCGGGCTGATACTTGAGCGCACAGTGACACTTCTTGGGCGAGTGGCTTGAAGACGCTTTTTCTGTGAGACAGTCATTCAGGCATGCTTTTTCAAATTACTCTGACAGTAATTGGTAGACCCAAATATTATGCTGCAGATATGCGTGGTGCAGAAATTAGAATTCACCTAGTGTTAAAAAGCAGACAACACCACAGTTTTCTGGCCCCCCACCTCCTGCTTGCCTTCCTCTGATTCTTGCCAGTGCAGGCAGTCAGTTATGGAGCACTAGGAATGTTTGAAATCCACTTCAAGAGGGGAGAGATTAAGCTAATAAGTTAACTTGGAATTATAGGATAAAGTGCAGTATTTCAGTAAATTGCTTCACAATAGAGCACAGATCAAAACGGCCACAGAGGAATTTCAACGCTGCCCTCTAATAAGACAAATAATAAATCTCATCAGTTTAAAGAGAATGATGAATACAACCACAGCGCTTTTAGATGCAATTTAATGTCAGGCCACTGCCAGCAGCCACAAGTCCAATGTCATCATGAAAGCAATGGATATTGAATTCCATTTATCACTTCCAGACTAAGCAAATATAAAAGTGTACAAATATACAGCATTGTCTAGATTAAAACTGATACCCTTTGCCGCATCACATTCAAACACATCCAGAGTGCCAGCTACGTGACCTTCTGCGGTCTGTTTTCATCCTTGGAAATAACTGAGATTGATACAATCTATTGCCAGAGCTGATATTAAACCAGTGCAGGGGAAGGGAATGACATGATCAACCTTACCTTTCATAAAGCACCATGTTCGTATCCCTTTCCCCCCCTTTCCTGAGCAGAGTTATTACAAAGCCAGGTCGCCCTTTCTCCTAAAACAACAGTCCATGACACAAACTCCTTTCAAACAAAATGGGCCCATACGGGCGGGCCTATCCGAACACATCTGAAACTAGAAACTGTGACTCCGAATAGAGCATGTGCTGTCACTATCTTTAACTACAAATGAGAAGGTGCAACATTCTTCTACAGCTTTGCCGGCTCTCTAGTTGCAGACCCCCACAAAACATGGTGCCCGACATCTGGCCCTGGCAAACATTACTCACTCTCTGTGGCACTGCCACACTGGAAGTATTAGAAAATAACTGCCCTTAAAAGAGCAAATCATCTTTTACCACTAACAGTCCAGAGTTAGCGTGACTCATTCCTGCAAGACTCTTGGCCGCGTTTAGCCCTGCCACTCTCTATCCCCCAACCCCTTCCTTTTTTACGCTGCACAGCATTTCTGCTGGACAAATATCAGACCAAAACAAGCCTTATTAGTAAGTTATTTACATTTTTGATTCTATTTCTGCAGCAGCTCGATTAAGAAAAAAAAAAAAACCCAGAGGAAAGTGCTGTTAATTTATGTCCTCCGTGTACTTGGACCAGGCTGACAAGCAACAATTCCAAACACAAGCATTTACTAGAGTTACAGTCCAATCTGTGTCGCTGGCTTGGGACAGTACATCGCAGCTGTTACCACTGATTGGCCAGAGTTATTTTTATATCACGAGACTGAACTACATTGGCATCCAAATCCCATCTCCAGACAGGAATTAAAAAATAAAACAAGAGGGAAAAGCTGCACTGCTGACTAAAGGTAATCAGCTGTTCTGCTCTGGTGTAGTAAAGGTAGTGAGACGAGTTCTCCTCATGCCTGGTACCAGCTGGTGATGTCTGCCGGTAGGGCTCTCTGTCACCTGCTGATGATCACCATGGTTTCAGCTGCAAAAAGGGGAAGAACTTCGCTACCCCGACGTTAAAAGAGTGCAGACACTGATTTATGGGTAGCAAGTGTCCCAGTGAGTTCTTTGCATGAATTAAGAAGCTCGAATTCTGTAATGTCACAAGAAAACAAACAAGTGGAATAAGTTTGCATGGTTGCCTGTCTAACTATGCAATGTGAAAGCCAATATGGAAACACAAATTTGCACCGAGGAGAAATGCACCTCTGGGTATGGACTCAGTGCCCTGTGGAAGTTAGGGCAGCATTACTAAAATCCTACAAAAGGTAGCAGGACATTGGGGGGTGGGGTGGCAACAGGCACCCTGTGGTACACGCTCAGCCCTCATGCATCACCTGTCATACTCGAAACACCTGTGTGGACATGAGACAAAAGGTCTCACTATTGTAGGAACATCTACCCCCACCCCTTCCTTCCCATTATCCGCGTTTCACTACCTGCACATCTCCCGTTTTAAATCACCAAAAACTTGCCAAACTAATTTCACCCGGTGGGGCAAAGTGGGTTAAGCTCGCTCCTCTCGTTGCCCGTCAGCCTCCCTCCTCCAGCGACTGCAGCAGCAGCACTTTGCACAACACTTACCAGAATTTATTTCGAGGCATGCCATGCAACATCACTGTTTTTCCATCCGCGAATCCGTCGTCGTGTCCCGGGGCGCGATCACGGTTTCTTTGGTGTAGGCTGGTGCATCGCTGCACGTAAGCGGCCGTGCTCGAGCCGCTCTCCGGCACCTCCGAAAAAAAGCTTGTGTTGTGGAAGAAAATGTTTTTCAGGCAGCGCACACTGGCTGATCGGAACAAGGCAGCTTCTGCCTCCAATATGTGGCCTCCGCGATGACGTAATGCGGAATCTCTTCACTTGCGTCAGCGTGGCAGCAAAAATGTTAAAGTTTGATACAACAAAATGTTTTCAAAAGATGCTAAAAACAAAAAGGAGCAGCTTATGGTGCATATTAACGTGGTGTTATATACACGCATACATTAAGTCGTTTGCAAGTTGCGGCATCATGTGGCTTAAAGAAGATGACGTCATGCAGATGAAACAAGTGCAAAGCTAATAAAACCAAGAGTGGACAAATAGTTGCGTTAATGGTGACCGAAGTGCAATAATATATCTATAGGTAGAACACCTTTGACTATTATTTTTAATCTGTTTTTGTAACATGCCTTCTTTTCATCATTTGTTTGTTGTTTACTTTAGCGTTTATCTTTTCAGTTGTTCTGATTGTACTGATTGTGTCGCACTCTAGTTTTTAGTTTTTAATGTTTATATGCGCTTTCATGTTAAATTTCTTTAAATGTAAATGGAAGAAGATTGTGAGCTATTCAGGGCAGAGATTATGTGAATCATAACGAAAACTCATTATTAAATATTAACAAAAGGAAAACCTAAATAAAGACACTACCCTGCCATTCACACACACACACACACACACACACAATAAAAAAAAAACGATTAAAAAAACAACAATAAAATATTACACTGTTAAAGATTACATTTTTGAACATAAGTGTAGAGTTTTAGAAAGTCCTAAAATGTTTATTCATCGTTAAAACAACCGAACACATTTTAAGAGAGACACGATATGGTAACAGCATAGCAGCAGTGATGCTAATTCAGTGCGTTTCAGTTTTACTTTTATATAGTACAATATTACATACAGACGTTCATATGGCTTCACAGGCATAACAAACGTTATCAGATTTGATATCATCTTTGAACAGTTTCTTTTAAAACAGATTTGCCTGTTAGTTTATAAATTCAGTGGCTTATGTTTTAATGGTCACATATTTTATATGAAATTTCAAAATAACTCTCCAAAGTGCGTTCCAAGATGGCTGCTGAGTGGTGTTTAAAAGTATCGCTTTCGGTGGGATTCTTGGAAAATAGGTTACTGAAGTAGGGTTGCTGTGTCTATAACCGCCTAAAAACATAAAAAAATACAATTTGAATTTTAAATTAATCCCACCTTTGAGAAAAATAATGTGTTTTAAAAAAATAAAAAAGTACCTAATTTCACATGCAGCTAAACAGCTGCTGCTCTTGAATGTAACTCGCCCTTCCCGAGCGTACAGGCCCCCTTGTTGCTAAGCAACCTTCGAAGAAGATTGACAGCAACTTTAGTTGATTCATTCGAAGAAAACTTTAAAGAAGGGTCAAGTTGTATTTGTTGCTGGTCAGCTGCGAGGTGTTTAATTCAGAAGAGCAGTATCACAGTTTAAGACAGTTCTCTGATGGCTGCCAGCCAGAAGCGTATTAATACAAGTAAGTTGATAGCCATTCATTTTTCCGCTTTCACTTTGTGCCATGACAACGACCTCCCCTAGCTCATTAATTTGTCATTAGCTCAGTTAATTAAACGTTAACTTAACGTTAGCTAAAAGAGCGGCATCCGGAGATGAGTGAAGGTATCAACTTGCAGTTAGCGCAACTTTGACCCAAAGTTCAACGACAGGAATTAAATCTATTATAACAGAAATATTTAGCTACCAATTATATTTTTTTGTTTTTTGGAGCTAAAGATCCAGGTTTAGATTAGACAATGAAGGTTAACTGATGTCTCTCCCGCTTTTACAGTGCGCTGAAAAGTTGCTTTAGAGTCAGCGATGTGTTCTTTTTAATACATTTTGGGGAAGTTGCAGCAATGCCGGACGTGGAACCCCTCAGATTCCCATCCAGGGAAGGACGACCAAGTCAACAAGGTGAGAAGAGAAGCGATGCACCTGCAAATAAATCCACTTTAACTCTACACATTCTCTGTTACAACAAGCAGTCTAAATTAATAACGTTGTGGATGTGTTTTTTTAGGCTAACACCTTGTTTAAATGTAGAGGCTTGTTATGTGTTAGGCAGTCTTCCAAGCAGTGCTTAAGCATCTGCACCACTCAGAGCTATTTAAATGCTGAGTAAATGTAATGATATTTAATGATGTTGAAGAAATGTCACTATCTAACATCATTGGCAAAAATGGCACTGCAAGTGAGGCTCACATGGGCCTCCACTGTGGCTATAATACACCCTGCCAGTATGATTTAGAGCTAATTCAGCCCACCACTGACATATTGCCTTAGCACCTTCCTACCCAACTTCAGAGTGTATTATTCATCTCAGCTGTTCAGCAGCAGATGGTCTTCTTTTTAGTTTTTCCCTTTTCCCCCCCAGTCTCTTTACTTAGTCTGAGCTACTTCACTCAGAAGCTGTTCTGGAAGCATCATGATAAGATAAATGGTCTCAGTCACGTGGAAAAGGTTGCAGATGTCACTGTCTCAGTCTTTTTGTTGTTGAGACGAGTTTGCAAACCCCTCGAGGGCATATACACTTTCTCCTGTGAAGCATAGGTAAGGTTGGTCAGTGTCCGTGTTACCTTACTTAATAGACGTCTTTGGATTTTCTTGCTGTTTTTGGCTTTTAATAACAAAAATGTATTTTATGCTTGACTAAATTAAACCCCAATTAAAAAAATATTTCCTCTGGTGGACGGCTAATACTGTCAGGGTTTGGCTTTGTTGTGCTTTGGATTCTTGTTTAGTATTTATTGAGATTTTGGTTCTTGTTTTGATTAGACCCTTGTTTTTGTAATATGTTTATTCGCTCTCTGTGTTCTATTGTTTTTCCTCTCACTCCTCATTGTTATTATTATCATTATCATTATTTTTGATTACTATTGAAGGTTTGCCTTTTCACTGGGTCTTACATCATGCTTTTGGGTCTTCTCCACACCATACAACCTGACTGAAGCCAATTTTCTCTTTATACATAGGAAAAACCCTGGGGGCATTTGTTGTTGCATATGGGCTTCACCTGTTTATCACATCTAAAGGACTGGAACCACAATCCAGCTATGACTTTCAGCCTACATTGGTGCTTGTGTACCCCGAAGGTTAACAAGAAAAGGTCTGCTATAGCTCACCTGTTTGACTGGGTGACCCACATGCTAAAAGCCTGCAGGGGCCTGGGTTTAAGTCTGCCCTGCACCACTCCCCCTTGCTCTCAACCCTACTTTCCTGTTTGAGCTTTACTAACATTAAAAAAAATTAAAGGATAAGAAGAAAAGATCTAACAGGTTCTCTCAGATCAAGGAGAGCTCAGAAGATGTCTTGGTCTGCTCAGACTTGACCTAAGTGATACAAACTAATGGATGAGACCAACCAGTGGAGATTTTAACTCCTCCCCCAAAAGTGGGACCCTGTGAGTTTTTGTCCATGGCATCACTGTACTCCCCTTTCCCCCCTCTTCTCTTTCCACTTTTTACTCACTGACTGGTCACAGCATCTTCCTGAGAATGGTTATCCTTGAAATCTCATCCCGTTAAAAGCGAGTTCTTACTCCCCCCTGTCACCAAGTGCTTGCTGATAGGGGATCAGCTGATCACTCTAATTGGCTCTAAAGCCATTTTACACAACCGTTGCTATGAACTGGCGCTATATAAATAAAGTTGGACTGAATAACATGTGCTCATTGTTGCATAATTACAGAGTCAAAGAGCCTTGGGCAGTAAATCAGTTGTTGTGGTCATGAAAAATGTTTTGTGCTGAGAAAATGCTTTAGGTTTTAAAAGTAAAGAGAGCGTGCTTTCAAAAAAGGCTAATGAATACTTTTCACTTCAAAGTGCAGTAAATAGGATGACTGCCTTTAATACAACACACAGGTTGCACACAGTTGGCCTTTACTGAGATCAAGATTATTTAATACAAATACTCACAGACTCTGAAAGAATAGTGTATTCAATAGGCTTAAAAAAGAAAAGAAACTTTCACTTTTATTTAAGCAGATTTGTTTGAAATGTTTTTCAGATTAAAAATAAGTAAATAATTGTGAACTAAACTGGGACAATCTGGAATTGGAAGTGAATTTGGACTTCTGTGGAGATATAAAGGAAAAGTAAAGGGAAAAGGCTGTGCAGAAAACCAAAGCAGCAGACATCACAGTCACTGTTTTATTTCAGTTATATTGTTTTAAAAATGGGATGAACTGGTGCCACAGTTCTTTGAATTAAGGGCATCTTGTTGTCTATTGTCTCTTCATATAATCCTAGACTAACTTGATAATGTTAAAGTTTGGTATCTTACTGACTCTTTGGTCTTCTAATGCCTTCTGCTGATGCACTGAACTCAGCCAGGAGAAAATAAGATATAAATAAGAATATAAACATTTACAACTCAATCTTAGCTGCGCTTATGCACGGTATACCAAAAACGAATGAATGTTTCCTAGAAAGTGTAACTCGTTTTTTTTTCTGTGACTGCTAATTAATCACTGATTAAAACTAAGTCCCAGCGTCACAGAAACATTCGAGCCTACACTGTACTGTTGTAATAGACACCAGGATACATTTTTACATATAGTGTAGTCAAGTGAATTTACTGTATGTTTGGAATGAATTTGTAGTAACGCTGTATGTTAAGAGGCAGTGTGCAGGCTAATTTTTTAAAAACAGCATCACTTTAGTCTTTATTCATCTGAACTAGCTTATCAAAAGACTTTCTTTAATACTTGTGCAGGTTCGTAAACTGCACCGCTTTGTGACAGCCAGATGGCGTCCTTTCACCACCAAGATTTGCACCCTTTGGTTTGTGTTGAGACACTGAAAGGACTTCTCTGTTCTCTCACTGATGCTCCCAGTATTTTGCAGTCTGTAAAACCAGAATCAAAGTGCAAGTAAAGAAGCACACAACAGCTTTCACAGCCAAATAAATTTTATTAATTACTTTTCCAAAATTAATTCATTCATTTGAGCGAGTGTTTGCTTCAAATAAACAGAGTCTATTCATAAAGAAAAAGAGATAAACTGTGTTGTAGCTATTTAATATTTAATATATAGTGTATGGATTGTAGATGTGGTTGGCCTTTTACTGACCGTATGCTGTTTTATCTGTCTCAAGATCAAGTAGATCTTCAAGCTGTTTGCTCTGGTAGACGTCGCACCTGTGCTTTGCTCAACAGTCCTTCACCATGGGTCAACAGCATTATCTACCATATCCAAGAGATTAAGATGACAGTGGAAAACAGGTGTCAGCAGGTAAAATAATGGCATCGAGTGGTCCAACAGGTGGGAGATTGTAACACAAATATCCTGATAGGTGTTAAAAGAAACTGAAAGACGCATTTTCCCTTTTAATTTGTGGCAGTCTGGAAGATATCAATCACAAGCTAAATACAGCAAAACTTTAAGGTGAAGTATTTCATTATTTTTTAATATGAAATGAAATATGAAATGAAATGAAGTATGAAATGTGACATGAGGTCAACTTGTTTTGTCAGATTTCAATCCAGAGACTCAGATTCTGACTCTGTGATGTCTACAGATTTGTATGTTGAAGGCTTTGCAATTTGTGCAAGAGGTAAACGTGTAGATTAGATAGCTTTGGGAATCTGACTTTACAAATCTATTGTTGTATTGTTTGTGTAGTTGAAATATAAGTTTCCTATCCCATAGAAAGTTGTCCATTATCTCCACTACTGAAGAAAATAAATGATGTCCTCAGCGAGGTTGTGTATCTGATTGAGCGGCTGGAGGCTGATCGGCAGCATGCAGAGGAAGCCCTGCTTAAAGAGAAAAAAAGGAAGAGGTTTTTGGAGAGCAAAGTGGACAGTATTTCACTGTGGAGGCAAAAAGAGCATGCTTATGTTGTGCAGAAAGGTCAGTGACCATGAGGTGTCACATCCTCATCGAACTGCTTGCTGCTTCTTGTGATGTAGCCGATTTTTTTTTCTTCTTAAACTCACTGAGTAAGCTTTTTAATTAATTTTTGACTATTACACTTTTAGAACACGAGGCTTGCATTAGAGATATCACTGAATTAAAGTGGCAGCTGAAAGTGGAAAGAGAGAAACTTGACCAAGCCCGAGAGAAACTGTCACACACCGAGGGGTTGAATCAGCGCCTACACAAGGACATCAGTTTTGCCAAAAAACAAGTTCCAATTGTGAAGGAAAAAATCGACCTCCAGAAAGACCTCGTAAATGAGATTGACGCTAAACAAGCGGAGGTAGGCTGTAATAGGATTTATTTGTAATTTCAAACAAACATCTGCACATTTTCAATATGCAATATTGGTAGAAGATTAAGATTCGTGGAGTTATTTCCCAAGAATTCTACAAACGTGTTGTTAACACAGCACAAATATGTGAAAGTACAAAATCCAAGCAAGATTAATGTGCTTTTATGTTACACTTCAGAATGAAAAATAACAACTGAGTTGCATTTTGGGTGATTTTTATTGATCGTGTTTAGTCACTGGAACTTGGGTTTGCAACTGTAGTTTACAGGTGTGGAAGGGTAAAGTTTTTTTCATTCATTTTGACTACTACAGTATAAGAGCACTTGTCATATTCTGGGTGTTCATGTAAAATCTAAAAAGTTGCACCATGATTCTAGTTTTTGTAGCTCACTTTCAGTAGCCTGTGAGTTCTTCTGTATTTCTATTTGTGATTCACAAATAGGGAAACGCTCTGGGTTGCATGCTTGTTGATGTATTTATCCACTTTCTATATAAAATGAAATTTTAATTTGTTAGTGATATTCATGATCCTCAAAGAGTGAATCGTGTTCATTTACATTTTCCACTTGCCACTTTCTATAGTTTATGATTGAATTAAACAGTGCGACCAAATTCAACCTAATCTGTGCTTAAAGCCTAGTGCTTATGTGCAGATGTGCTTTTACTTTGTGCAGAAAGGAAATGATTGGATGACAAAAAGTTTCAATATGTAAACGCCCTTCTAAGCGTGCAGTCAGGCTTTTAGCAGTGGATCCTGTTGGTAAAAGACTCACAGTATGATTTCATAACAGTTTCATGTTTTCTTTTATTGTATATAAATGTGTGAAATTCGTCATGAAACATATTTCTGAAAAATACTAATCCCATGACTCACGCTCTTCTTTAGGCTAATGACGTTCGCTCAAAAATACAGCATGATCTCCTGTTAGCCCAGAATAGGTTTAAAAACATGGAGCTGGCTGCTAAAAAAGAGAAGATATCAGCAGACCAAGAGCTACTGGCACTGAAGAATACTCTGGCAAAAAAACTGTGAGTATCCACTGAAACACACTAGAAACACATTAGAATAGATCTTCAATTAAAAGTCTTCATTTCAAAGTCACTTTTATTCTTGTAGTTTTAACCTTTTTCATAGAATGTAATTATCTTTCTATGATTTTATTATTATTTTTTTAATGTTTATTATGGGCGTCTGTCTGAGAAGTTGAGAATACTTTATGGGATACCCCAGGGTTCTGTTTGGTCCTAAATGTTTTCTCCCAGGGCTATTTGCTGATGATACCGAACTTTCCAGCTAAATATTTAAATGACTATAAATAATATATAAATATTTAAAAAATATCTTCGGTTTGAGGCTAAAAGATCTTCATCTTTGTTTTGTACATACATAAATTCTTTTCATGGGAAAATAATATTGATGTCCTGATACACTAAAATAATTATATAATACTTATACACATATATAGAATCATATATAACTGATTTCTTTGAATGAGGGCATAATCCTAGACAAAATAGTGTTTTATTTTTTTTCCAGGGAAAGTTTAAATCAGTTGAAGATGATGGATGATGGTCTACATGATGAAATAAAGGATGCTGAAAAGACCATTGCTCTTGCAGAAGAGAAGTGTGCACTTATAACTCAGTGTATCCCTGAGATGATGGAGCTAGAGAAAACTGAAACCGACACAGTAAGTCACACAGTCCATATTTATACTAATTATTAGCACTTAGGAGTAATGATATTAATGTTTTTCCCCCTGTTGTTTGTTGAACCTTTTTTATAGATTGCACAGTTAAATGTTCAAATTGAGGGTGAAATACATACGAATAAGAAGTTACAAGAAAAACTAATTTCCCTGCAAGAAGATATTGCGAAAACTGTAAGTAGAACCACAAAAATGTTACAAAGTCACGAATACTCTGCACATCTCCTCATCATTTAAGAGGCCCTATTGCTACCTATGTTTGTCACAATGGCTCACTTGGTAAGACTGTATGCAGTGTTAGCCACAGAATTATCTGCGTTGTCCCCAAACCCTAGCATAAAAAAATGAATCTAAAAACTGAAATCAGTGAAAATGGAAGAAAATGGACAGTGCAAAGTTTATAGTCTAAGAAGTTTGAAATCGGTTAAAATTCTGAGTTCCCCAAGCTTTTGAGGCTCTACCAGTAAGGAAGGTGCAAGATTTTCCTTTTTACAGTATAAGCTAATATCACCAAACCTAAAAAAAAGCCACCAGCTCCTTTATAGCCATTCCTATAGAAGTTATGTGCATGTTTTTCCATAAATGTAATTATCCTTCAGAGTCAATGAGCAATGACAGTTACAGAGTGATACGTCTTATATATTCCCAGTAGAAAAGCAGGAAAAGCAGTTTCCTTTAACACATTCAGACAAACTCTTCCAGAATCTTTGTCGCTTTGTACTCTGCCATTAAAAATGAGTAGTGTGCTCCTTTTTTTCTCTGCAATTGAAACAAATATCAAGAACATTTCACTTAAAACCAAGAGTATTAAATAAGTTTGCGTTAACACTGGTCCATGAAGTTCGTCTTTCCATGTTATCCACAGAAACTGAATGGGGAAGCAGAAGTATCCCGCATAGAAGAACAACTTGAATCAAAACGCAAAACTTTTGCAGCTCTCCGTAAAGAAAACATGCAGTATGAACAGAGTGTGGAAAACTACAAGACAAAAATTTTGGAGAGGTACCATGGAAAAGCCAGAACATGCATCACCTTTTCATAAATATCATTACTGTGTACAGTAGTCCTCGTGTGTGTATGACGTTACTTCACTGGGTGATTTTTGTTAGCGAGAAAGCAGTGAAGCAGATGTGTGAGGAGAGGAAACAGATGCTCCAGAAAATCAGTGACAATGACGAGAAGTGGGAAAGGGCCGAGGAAGAAGTGACCCAAGTTGTATCCCGGCACAGTGTCATTCAGGCTGAGCTCGAAGAACAAGAGCAGCTAACCTTCGCAGAGAAAGAGAGGGCCAGGGTCAGTGGCAACATATGTATAATGCTCATGGGTTACAGTGTAAAATGTGAGACCACATCCTCTTTGTATGCTCTTTCTGTGCTCTACAGACAGAGATTGAAAACCTGAGGAAAGACCTGACAGGTCAGAGGACTACCCTGGAACAACTTAAGGTATATTTATGAGGTGTTTCAGAAGTAAAGTTTAGTCAGTTTGATCGACTTTGTGCATTCCCATTTCCTGGTGTTGTTTACACCTGTTGAGGTCAGTGTGATGACATTCTGGCTTTCATGTTTCTATTCCATCAGACTCAGTGTGCAGATCTCGATGAGCAACTTAAACAACAGCAAAGGAAATCAATGCTGACGAATCAGCAACTTCAGAAAGAATTTGAAGATGCATCCTCAGTGACAAAAGCCCTGGAGACAAAAATGGAGGTAGCAGAATAACTTTATAATAGTTGAGGAACATTTCAAAAGTTTAAGCAGGTACATTTGTAACTATTCTTTTTTTTTTTTTTAAATAGGAAATTAAAAATATGATAGACAATTTGGAAAGCATTTCATGTGAACACAGGAAGACATTAATCAACCTTAAGAATGAGAAAGACCTCCAACGCGATCATCTGAAAGCTGCTCAGGTAAGAAGGACAAAGGTGCATGATGCAGGTTGCTAAGTCAGGTTTACTCTGTAAAGCTCATTGAGGCCAAAGCTAGTCATGGCTATGTATCAAAACAATCTCTTTCTTTCAACAAAATAGGGTTTAGACTTTTGTAAATTCATGCACCTCTTTGTTTACAGGATTTACACAGCGCTGCTATACAGAAATATGATGACACCGTGGGAAGGATCAGTGACCTTATGAATAAAAGTGAGGAATACCGGGATGCTTCAGATAAAATGGAAAAAATAGCTGAAAACATCCCAGAAGTCATAGCAGAACTTCAGTAAGTTGTGCTAGGTGTAATAGCTTAGAGTGAGGAAAGGAAGAAAAAAAGGCTAATATACAACCTCCTTAGTACTTTGACTCAAATGCTCAAAAATTGTGCCACCTTTAAAAAGAAAACATAATTATTGCAATTATTTAGCTTTATGTGATTTGATGTGTTTGATTTCTCCTTCCAGGAGTGTTTTTGATGTGCTGGAGTTCAGAAACAAATCAGCTGCTCTCATTATGAGCACCTTGCAGTTTGATATTAATAACTGCCAACAACGAACACAGCGATCCATGCAGACACACACCGCTCATGTTACAGCAAGAAAAAAGCAAATGGAAGACACCAAGGTAAAAAAAAAAAGAAAAAAGAAAAATGTTTTTCTCAATAACTCTCTGTTAATACATGACTTTTGTGTCAAATACTGTGAAATCAGAGACAAGCTGTAGAAAACATCTCATTGCTTATTTGTTTATGGATTAGTGTCAGCACATTGCTTGTCACAATACTTCCCTTAAGATACAGAGAAAAGAGCTGTGTGCAATTAAAATTACAAGCCACGGTCAATCTCGTTTAAGTGCTTTTTCCGCAAATGACAACTCACTGTTGTTATAGTCTTTTGTCTGGACGAATTTGATGATGCATGTCGTGGTGAGATGCGGTGTTCTTTTTTTGTTACCTGTAGGCCAACATTTTCAAGAGCAGTTTGAATGTAAGCCCGCAGTTCACTACATCAAATAAGCATATAATCTGGACCTTGCTATATTTATGTCTGAAAATAAAATGTGACTCTGCTGTGCACAAAATGGCAAGCATTTGAACACTCCTTTGTAAGAGAAACCCCTATTTATTGTAAGGTTTTCATCTGCAGGATTATCAGCCCCAGCCAGAGCCTCTTTGCTGATGGGGGTTTCACATGGCTTATCTAATGTGAAATCGCCATGTGGTATATAGTTTCATTAAACGGTGATCAAGAATGCATTAGTTCAAAACAAGAAAAGGCAATGGAGCTTAAGCCGCCATGCATCCAAGTGCAGCAACTTTAAAGAAGTTGTTGGCGTGAGACAATTTAAGAATTAGAAGTCTTCCTCATAGACACAACTCCCATTAGCCAGATAAAAGTTAGTCATGCAAAAAAGGGTTTAGTCTTTTTCACTTGACAAAATAAGATGATATAACAACAATACTTCTCACTAAATAAAAAGATCAGAGACAAGACTGAGGTTCTAAGGAAATTGGTCACTAATCATTGGGACCAATATGAAACATGCATAATGTGTACAGTGGCAAAACATCACGGGGCGCGTGTGCATTCAGAAATCACAGTGCATGAAGCAGAATGATAGAAACCTTTATAAATGAGATTTTATTTAAAAATATGTGACCCCATCCCCCCCCTGTTCTTCAGAAACCGATGCAGGTTAGTATAACTAAAAGCTGCTGGAAGCATATGTGGTCGTTTTTCAGTATGTGGTTGTTGCACACGCAGGGTACATCAAGCTGAAATAGGTTAACTGGTTAGAAATCTGTGGTGATCTCTATTCAAAGCACACTGCACACACATGGAAGGCACCTATTTTTTTGATTTGATCAGGGCTTGTCGTCTGTCGAGGACAAAGTAAACAATGCAAACTGCCGACGCTATCAGTTTCTTATGGGCAATGAAGTGTAATTTGTTCCATTTACACTTCACAACAGCATCAGATGGGCTTTGTCAGTGCTGCATGGAGTAATTAAACCTGAAATCAATAGCAGGCATTTGTCATGTTTACAGCCCCTCTTTCTGCTGGGTTAAACTCATCACTTTAGTGCTGTTCTGTTTTACTGCAGAGACACACTTCATTATGTCTGCAGGTAGAGTTGAGATATTCACACCCTTATCCAGTACTCAGGAAACATTGTTCAAATGAAAAAGGGACATGCAGAGAGACGCATCCTCACTGTGATTTATTTGCTTGATTTCCCAGAAAAGCGTACGGCGCTGTATGGCCACTGTTTATGTCGCCTTATTTAACAACACAATTACAAACTGCCTATCGTACTATACACACACACACACGAAGCAGGTCAGTGGTGCAGCTTCTAAATGGTCAGCAGGGGCTTACTGTACAGCACTCAAAGTGCTCTATATTATATCTTGCTTCACTATATTTATATATAATCTTTTTTTCTGTAGAGCTGTGAGAGTCTCTTAAACAAGAATCAGTGTAATTATTCAGTATCTATTTTGTATATGTAATGATGCTGCCAGTTCTCCTACAAGCAATCTGATGAACTAGCCCTACCGATACTTTGCATTTTTGTAAATTACTGTCAACAGTTGGAGGTGAAACACCATATTGGTGTCGGTGTTGATACCACCCTTATGAGTCAGTATAAGTATCACCCACTATGTAACTGCTAAAGTTTTATTGGTTAGTTTCACTATAATCTGTGGTTAAGTTGTTACATCAAAATAATTCCTGACTCCCACTGGAGTAAGGTATGCAGACTTAAGAAAACAAACAAGCAAAGAAACTAGTATTGGGCAAGTATCCAATACTGACACACTTAATCTGAATCAATGTTTTAGATGGCAAAATGTTGACGATGTAGTGCAGGTATGTCACAGTAGTTATAATACTGGTCTGCAGTATACTGTATGCTAATTTTGGGTGATTTTACATAGTTACTGTAAACACTTAATATTTGATCCTAAACGTATTTGCTCATGCTCTTTCAGGAAGCACTTAAAATTGCGCTAAAGGAAAACAAACAGCTGGCAAGCCGGTATGAAGACCTTAGGAAGATTCTCATGGAGGCCAAACAGGAGTCTGTGTCTGCACTGAGTGAGAAAAACAGCGCACATAAATCTTTTCATTACTACACACAGGTACATTTTATATAACCTTGCTATCTGTTCCCCTCCTTCTTCTGTTATTGTTGTTTCATGACCTAAGACCTTTGCCTTATGTTCCTTCATGTTTTATTTGGTGGTATTCTACTTTGCACCAGACACCACTTCTTTGCATATAGGCAGTCATTTTAAGGTTTTAGTTTGGCAACCAGTAAGGAGGTTACTGCAGCAGTCTAATAATGAGATAACTCGAGTGGAGGAGGATGATGGATGTGACATAATGTAATGATAGTTTTTCCAGCAAGGGGAGTAAAGCAAGAGGTTGATGGTACATGTAAATACTATAACTTCAACATTTCCCTGATTATAGTTTTGTAAGGTGGCCAGAGGTGAAAAATCTTATCATCGTCGTGTTACAAATTTGCCCTGCTCACCGCAGTAATTGGTGAAGGATCAGCAGCAAACACGGGTCAGGATCAGACAGTGCTAAAATAGCACTGGAGGTCTGACTAGTTGAGGGAGACAACTCAGCAGCATTTTACTGTTTAATCTTTATAGATTTTGACACTATTTAACTAGAATAGAATTACACATGACAAGCATAACACCAGGGAGAAGCCACACTGTTCCTGCAATGAAAAATACATATTATTTGTTCCAAAAATGACTAATACCTTTACTTGAGCAATTCCTCATCTAACTGCATGAATGTTATCAAGTGAAAAATGCATGCAAAAATAAAATCCTGTGGACAGGATTTTCCACGCTCATGATCAAAGCCTGATTTTCTTTTACTCCGGATTCAGCCTTCACCATTTTTGTTTGTTTCAACTCCACACTTGTACAACAGCAGCCTCTCGGCTAGTGTTTTATGGCTAAATTTAGTTGTTTTTCTTTTTTATTATTTTGGTATAACAAGCTCATAATCAGCAATGTTTCTGAAATGTAGATGTCGGCCTAACACATTTAATCATTTAATCTGATTTATACAGACACATTCAAATGCATTTCCTTCCTGTTTTAAATTTCCAATTATCTGTATAATGCTTGCATATTGTGTCCCAGTTAGTACATATGTTACACAATGTGAGTGCTCTTAATTGATTTGTTTATAACTGGAGGCAACAAGGTAAATGCATTTAACATTGTCAGGATCATTTGAGAGATCAGTACATTAGTGCAAGTGAGTGAGATGCCAGTCATTTGTGTTTTTCAGAGTCCATAATCTCTTTTATTAAATTTAACTGAGGGGCACAATGAAACTCATCTCTAAGGTATCACTGAAATATAGTTAGGTATGGAAACTGTGGGCAGTGACACGGTTTTCATCATCTTCAAACCCTAACTCTAAGCATAAATACTACTTTAACTGTCATGGAGGAATTTATATACCAAGCTTCACCTTTCAGTACTTTTAAAGTAATTGAATAGATGTGCAATATTCTTTGGTTATTTCTTCACAAATTAAGCAGATAAAGGTTTTGGGTAGCCTGTGAAGCAACAATATGTAGTCAAAGGTCTCTTTGTCTCTGAGTACAAGTAAAACAGCCCACTCTTAGGTTGCAAAATAAATTGATCACAGTGTTACTGAGAACACTGAGATTGGCCAGATAAACTGGTTTGGTAAATTCTGAGGAAAAGAAAATACCGTTTAGGAAAAAACGAACGAAGAAAAACAACAGAAGAACATTCATCAGGAGGTAGTTATAGTTTTCCAAGTCTACCATAAAGAGAAGGGCAAGGGCAAATAAAGACTGTTCACCACAAGGTGAAAGCTATTAATCAGCCTCAAGAATACAAAAGGCTATATTATACTTAGCCAAAATAAATAAATAAAAGCCAGAGCAGTTCTGCAGCAACATTCACTGGACAGATGAAACCAAGATTAACCTGTACCAGAATATTGTAATGGAACGCTTGGGATAGTTTGTGATGCAGTCATAAAATATCACCTGTAAAACACACTGGAGGCTGTGTGACATATGTGCATGCACGATTTCCAGTAGCACTGGGTCACCAGTGTTTGCTGATGACGTCACTGAAACTAAAAGTATCTGGATTCATTCTAAAGTGGACAGAGCTAAATCCCCCTCAGATTTAGCCAAGTACTGCAGAGCTGGCTTTACAGTGCTTCACAGTAGAGACAGACAGTGATCCAAAGTATACTAAGAAAGCAGCCCAGCAGCTTCTGAAGGTAACTCACTTGACCTCTACTTTGTGGAGCTGCATGTTACTCCCTGAAAACAAAGTAAAAATTTGAAGCCTGGCAAAAAAAAAAAAGAAAGAAAGAAAAGAAAAAAGTCAGAGTTCAGGCAGTTAATTCATACCAAAGGAGATAAATGTTATTAGCAATTATTGAAACCAAAATGTATTTATG